TGCCATAAGGCTGTTTAAAAGACAGGAGATCTTTCACAATGGAGGAGCTGATGTCATCCACACAGCTGCCAAACCATCAACAACTTGGCTATTTTTTTATTTTTAAGAACAAATTCACAAAAATGGGACAAAATAATTTTGCTTCTTTTCTCTTCAAATGTATGTAAATCCATTTTTTTAATGCAATTTTTAAGTTACTTTATGCATTTTATTTGTGTTTTCTTAACCTATACATAACAGAGAAAATGATACTCTCAACATAATTTCAGCTTTCTGTTTTTAATTTTCTTATTTTACTACTGAATCCTTAAAGCTATCAGAAAATGTGGATGTTCCAGACCCAGATCTGAAAGACAGTAGATTTTTCACAGCAAATTTACATAATTATAAACTCTCTAATAAACAACAAATCTACATTGAGATGAAGCAACTGAGACATATATTCATTACTTATGAAAACAATCAACAGTGTGATGAAGAAACAATCAGAAAGACAAAAGCCATGGCTTTTAGCAGGGAGGGAGAGGAACAATCACCTCTGAGGAGTGTGGGTCCAGCTCCATCTGCAGAGCTCACCAGACTGGTTTAGCACAGCAAGGCTCAGCCAGAAGATGTGGTTTTCCACTCCTTCCCTGTGGGGTTCTTGTTCCAGAAGCAGCCAGAGAGTACTAGGAGGGTTGCCTCTCCCTCTGCCTCCCCTCTTCCAACCACACACCCTCCTTGCCCCCACCTTGGGTTGCCACTGGCATCCATCAGCCCCTCCAATGTGCAGATTCAACCCACATGACAGAGGAAAACCAGGCTAGCAAGTTGGATCAGTTCACAGAAGTACCCAAGACTGCCAAAATGAATGCAAAATAAGCACTAAGAGCATGTGGCTGGGAAAGGGGAGGGGAGAAAGTAAAGTTCATCCCTAGCAGAAACCTGTTGGATGACTTTATCATGTATCATGAAACAGAAACCTCAGGGTTTAGTTTCAGAGCCAAAGGAATCAGTCTCACCTGTCTCCCAAAACTCCTCTTAGTCCCAGTCTTTGTGCCAAAATGAGCACTTGGCTATCCAGCTTATGGATGTTCCCAGATGGGGGGAAAAAAGGATTATTAAAATCTGAGCCAGTATCCTGGCCTGGTTCACAGCCTGGCTCTGTGAGCAGTTTTGGTGACCCATGAGAAAGGGGGGCAATGGTGAGGCACTGTGGGAGGCAGGATATCCTGTGTGGTAGCAGCAGCAGCCTACCGGCTTAAACTCCATGAAACTGCTGTCTCTGGCTGAGGTTCCCAGCGTGGTCAGAACTGATCTTAGCTATTGAGTCCTGTGGCCAGACCCTCCATCTGCTACCAAGCACACACTGATCCTCTGCTCCCCATCACACAGCTACAGGGCAGGTTGATTCAGCTCACTGGTTGGTAGAAACCTTTCCTCCTCGTTTGACTGGCTACCCAAAACAATCTGAAAGCTGACCTAGCAGAAAAATCATCTTATTACCATGTGATTACTACATCTAACACAAGTGAAGAAGGAAGAATAGAGGAAAAGGAGAGGACAGGTTGGCCATCTTGGGAGTAGCTTACCACTAGGCTGGCTTTGCAGCCCCCAAAGACCACAACCCAGCCCCTCTCCTCATCCTAGTTTTGGAGATCCCACCCTAGTTTTTCATTCCACTGTATGCTCTTACGCTAGTACAATAGTTGCAGGTCTGCACCACAAACTAGATCACTTTGTTAAGAGAAAAGCTTGTTTTTAACTCCAACCACTCCACTGGGCTGCCACAAGTCTGAGGAATGCTACTGGCAAGGTCTGTGGCCAGGGAGATGAATGGTTTTTTTAGCACTAAAGATGAAAAAAAGAAGTTTGAAACACTGCCCATGTGTGTCAGACCACAGGGAAGGTCTACATTTTAATGAAGAAAAATTATCTTCTGAGAAAGATGATCTATTTGAAGGAGTCAATGAAATAAGACCTGAGCTTTTTTTTGTAAAATGGAACTGCAGGCAAACTATTTTACAGTGGTTTTCTCTTTGCTGTTGACAATAGGAGAAGTGCACTACTTGATACAAGACTACTGCAGGGCTGCAGTGTTTGCCACTGGACATCAGGTCCTGAAAAAAGGTAAGCAGATGCTGATCAGCAGATTCATCAGATCTGCTTGAGTAACCCTGGCTGATGTTCAGAGATCAGAAACCAGTGCTCAGTCTGAGAAGTTGAAAAGTTATACTCTGTTACCCCACAAGTGGTAAATAAACACACAGCCCAAGGTCAGTGCTAAGAGATCACAGCAGCAGAGACGTTGCTAGCTCTGCAATCAAGACATCATGTCTTACTACTTCAACTTAACATTCTGTTGGATACTTGGCTGTAACAGCTGACTTGCCACTAAACTAATCATGTCTTTTGCACAAATTCCTCCCTGAAGGAGGGCTTATTTTGGAGCAAAAAAAAATCTGAATAGAACAAAGATAAGTTTTCCTGTTTTAGTTAAAAAATTCTATTAATTAATAAGGCATCCCATCATTCATGCTATTAAATACATACATACATATATATATATATATATATATATATATATATATACATATATATACATATATATATAAAATCAGTTTTTTTCTGATAGAGATGAAGATAAATGCATCCATTAAATAAAAATATATTATGGTGAAAGAATGTATACATTACAGAAAAAAAACACTCAAGAGTTCAGGAACACTGAACCTGCCCTGAGTGCAGGTAAAATAGTAACTTAATGCTCTCCACAAGCCCAACTATAACAACACTGTCTTCTCACCTGATTAACCACAACAACGTGAAAACTCCTTTTTTGGTTACATTTAACAGAATCTTGATATTTAATTGCCTATTTGCTGTTTTATGGTACTCTGCAGACACAAAGACTTGGCTAATCTTATCTTCCAGTAATTACTTCATTTTCTAATTCAAATTTCTATATGAAAGTAAGTATTAGAATGATAGGAATACTTCATCTGACATCAGATGATTTAGGTGATGTGATTTTTCAAAGCAGACTAGGACCAGAGCAAAATATGCATAAAGAGGGTAAAAGGTTATACAGGAGTTTGGAAAGAACCCAGCAAAACCTGCAAATATGTATTTTAGCACCACAGGCAAAAGAGTACTCTGATGTCAAAACAGTTAGGACACGGAAACAATAAACAGTCAAGGAAAGAGCAAGACACTAGAGTGACACAGTTAATCATCTTGATGACAAGAAGAGTGCATGGACAGTTTAAGATGCTTTAAAAAATAAAAAAAGGAAACCAACAAAACATGCAGAGAACCGTGATTGCTGAAAATCTGAAAGTGCTTGTATATTCCAAGTTTTGTGTCTCACTAATCTATCCATAATAGAGACACTAGCATAATTTTTCTAGATATTAATTCTAAACTTATTATTCAGTTTCAATAAATGAAAACCAGACAGTAAGTAAAAATCAGCTGACTTACATACATGTTCAATTACTCCTAATAACTTAGGCTGCTAAATAGAAATTTTAATCCTTATATGACGAAGCACAATTTCACTAGGAGGCACAAAGTAATTTGCCGAAAGAATAGGCTTTTGCTGAGACGAGACAGTGAAACTATATGGTGCATGAGAACGTGTTGGCGAAGAGTTCAGTTTTTGGTTTTAATTACTGCAGTTTTGAAAGGCACAAAAAAACATTGTAAATTTACAGGCATGCATATAACTTCCTCTGTTCATGATTCTTAAAAAATGCATCTTATGCAGCATGAGAGTTGCACCTACTACAGCTTCTGACCCCAGCCCCGCTTTCTTGCCCACATTTCACACAATGCACACAACTAAAGACATGATAAATGTAGCAAACAGTGAATGATCATCAGAGCATGGCATCATGGAAGAAGTTTGGGGCCACATTTGCTAAGAGCTCAGGTTTCTGAAAACCTCCTTTGCTTGTCCCCCTTCTGCTTACTCCAGGAATTTGGCTATTCAAACAACTCAATCACAGCCATTCCCACAAGGAAAAGACGGTCTCTGAAGTAGGCCCGAGAATACGTCACCGGGGCATAACATTGTACAGGAATCCTATGACTCACTAAGCATTTTTTGAAGCGAAATTGGAGTAGCTAGACCTTAATTCAATCAGCATGAAGGAAGTGTCTGCAGGCAGTGCTGCCCAGTCAGCATTAGATAGGCACAATGTTGCTCCTTCTCAGAAAAGAGTCACAGAACCAGATGTGAATTGCAAAAGGCCATCTTACCCCTTTCCATCCAGTCACTGCAGCGCAACGTGTGTTTGTTTTGCAGGCAACAGATCACTGTCTCCATTGCACTACTTTTTCTCTGCCTGGATTTACTTCTTTATATAATGAAATACAGAAATGCTATAAAAACACTGAAAGGGACCTGTTCCAATGTTCTGTATGAAAAAAATGTCTGCCGGAAAACTTGGAGTCCTTAGCAAACTAGTAATGTTGAATCATAAAACAGATGGTGCTTAAAAAGAGCTATAGAATTAGCAAAGTTCAGCTCCCATTCATGTGATTGTGGCATTGAGGATCCAGCCCCACATGATTATGGAACAAAAGCAATCACATAGCTTGGAACTTCTCAGCTCCTCACAAACTCAAGGTTTCCATTTGCAAGGACGTACCAAGATGTACTGGGGCGAGCAGTTCATTTGGAACTCTGGAGAGAGGGTTTGGAAAGGGTTCTTGGCAGAGTGCCTCACTGTGCACCTCAGGCACACAGCTGCTCCTCAACATTTCCATGTTCCAAAGTACTTTATTCATTACTCAGCAGTGTTTCAGAGTTCTCTGAAATAGGAAACCCATGTTGATCATGTTGAAGAACTTACACTATTCAGGGGATGATGTTTCTGCATTTTAAGGCTATTTACTTAAAAGCAAAAGGCATCCTACTGTATTTTGCTCCACCTGGAAGAAAATACTTCACTTGTGGAAGTCAAGAAGAGTTCAGAAGGTAAACTGTATGTTTAATAAATCTTGAGCATACTCACATGGGGAATCATCCACAAACATGGGGTCTATGTTATGCAGCAGTTCCACTCTGGGAGAAGGTCTTCCTTCACTAAGAGAGATTTCAAAAGGAAATGTTAATTACCTCCTACAGCTCACTAGGTTTCTGCATGCTTTATTTTAAGGCTTTCTGTCATCTTAGTAGAGAGTGAGCTCGTAACCCTAAATTGATTACTATCAACTTTAATCTGAATACTTCTTCCTGGCTGAGCAGCAACAACCTTTGTCTCCACAAGTTTTCCCTGACTTCAGTGGTGTTTATTTAGATTATTCGTAAGTTTACTGAGGGCCCTACCTAAGCAGGGTTTTACAACAACCAATTTTAAGAGTCAAATTTCACAGCATAAGCTGGCATAGCACTTGCTATTCTTTCTGCTTACCTGAACAAGTGCTGGAAGCATATAGCTGGGTGCCTCAAAAAATACCACAAGCATTGCTATCCCACAAAAAAAAAAAAAAAAAAAAAAAAACCAACCCAAAAAAACAAAAAAAACCCCCACCTTTGATTTCTAATTGAGGTCACAAGAATAATTTAGATACTTAGAATCTTGTTGTGTTAAAGAAGAAAATAATCCCTCTTTTTCTAGCCATTCAGTCCAGACAGATGGTGGGGAATAAGCCTCTGAATTTACCCATGAATTTTCTTAGCTATGTAAATCCCAGACCTAAAAAACTGAGTAAATGAAATTTACTCCTTATAAAGGGCAACCTGAGTAGGAAGACATAATTAGAAAGAAACATATCTACACAAAGACATGACAATAATTTATTATCTGACAATGAACCTAAATACATCCTTTCAGAAATTTCCAAATAATTTAAATTGTTTTTTCTTTCATTAAGGAGCTTAACTTAAGACACAAAAAATTGAACCAGGGCCCCTAAACTTCTTGACATTAAGAATAAAAAGTCAGGTAATATAAAACTCATTGGAGACTATAAAACTATAAAAAAATATAGTTATTTTAATATATGGAATATATCATTAAACAGCATTTACCTGTAATTTAAAATCTTCAGTAACAAACAAAATAATATTTTTTGGTCACATCTCTAAAAACATTTCTGGATTATACATTTTGAGTGAGTACAGAACTATCAAGAAGAACTAAAAGATTAAATGTATTCAGGTAATATACTATTGTAATTAATACAGAGGAATTACATTAATTAAGCTACAGTGTCAGTAATTCAATATATAGAAACTGCTACAAAAATGTTTTTTCCCAAAATGTGGGTGAAAGGCTAACTGTGCCCCCACCCCCAAGTGTATATAGTAGTCACACTCTTAATTTAAGAATGCTTGGCCTTATTTAAACAAATTTTATCTTAGGTTTAATAAACTCCATGTGCTCCATTGACAGCTGTGTTCAAGTGTGCCTTTTACCATCTGTTCATAGGTAACAGTAACAAGAACCAGTTAGCAAAAGTTAAACTAGGTTTCAAATTTATAGCCTGTGATTGACTCTGCAATAACAGCAAAAACTGGGAAGGTTTTCTTTCAGTTTTTGAGCTGTATCTACATTTTCCAGAATATTTTAAAAGAAAGAAACCACCAGAGTTATGGTAAGTAATCCAGTATCTTCCACCAGAGTCAAATACAGCACAATTAAGTAACTTATCCTATTTACTTCTCACCTTTATAGATTCAATATTCATAGAGTGCTGCTCAGTATTCACACAGTGCTGAGTGGGCAGCAGGACCAGGGAGGGGATTCTGCCCCTCTGCTCTGCTCTGCTGAGACCCCACCTGCAGGGCTGCAGCAGCTCTGGGGCCCAGCACAGGAAGGACATGGACCTGCTGGAGGGAGTCCAGAGCAGGCCACAAAGACCATCAGAGGGATGGAGCACCTTCTTTTTTGGACAGGCTGAAAGCTGGGTTTGTAAAGCCTGGGGAAGAGAAGGCTCGGGGCAGCCCTCACAACAGCCTTTCAGTACCTAATGGGGGCCTACAAGAAAGACAGGGACAGACTTTTTAGTAGGGCCTCTTGTGACAGGACAAACAGTGATGGTTTTACACTGATGGGCAGTTGATTTACACTGGATATAAGAAAGAATTTTTTATGATGAGGGTGGTGAAACAGTGATACAGGTTGTCCAGAGAAGTAGTAAATGATCCTTCCCTGGAAACATTCAAGGTCAGGTGAACAGGGCTTAGGGCAATCTGATCTAGTTGAACATGTCCCTGCCTAAGGAACAAGGGTTGGCCTAAATGACCTTTGAACCAGCTTATTCTATGATTCCATATGAGTCTATGATTATACCAGGCACGTTCATAGTGTTCAAGCAGACTGAAGGTAACTTCCTTTATAAATTTAACACGGACAGTGGATATTATATACTAAACATGGCTATTTACATTACAGCTGATAAAGTACAAAAAGTAAAGATTATACTTGTATTAATGTAAGTTTTTAATGCAGCAGTTGCCATTATTATTGAACCCATTTTTGTTCTGGGATAGAATACTGTTCTTAATACTTTTGATGTGATTTATACGTAATCATGAGATTTACTCCCTGAAGCTTATGGCATCACTGCATTAAGCTCTGTGGAGCTACTACATGGTACAGCACTGCTTTTCACTTTGAGTGTTACTCCAGTAATTCTGGTTGCACAGAGCATGGATATTCACAACCAGCATATATCACAAAACAATAGCCAAAGAATTTGGCATTGCATGTTGAAAAAAAAACACCTGCCTCACAGCAAAAAACATCAGGAAAACCGAAACAACATTCTGGGGACAACAGATAGGAAATTTACGCCTGTAACAGAGATCTGTTTCCTTAGAAGTGCCTTAACTCTGCCCTCCTTTCTATTTACAAAACTCCACAGAGAACACAGACTCAACTACAGATTCACCTTGGCAGATGTTCTGCAAGGGTATTTTGAATCAGGAATATGGTCTAGCCAGGAGAGCTACAATAACAAAGCAATAATATTCTCTAGAGAAACCTGCCTTTGTATTTTAATAACTGCCTGGGTAACCACATCTTACAATGCTCTAATTTTAGAATATTTATTTTTAGACTTCAATATCCTAATACGTCATCCCTCCCCCTAAACATAAGGAATTTTTTATGTTGTCTGGTTATTATTCTACCCTGTCAGATGGTAGAATAATTAAGATACGTCCTTATTATTTAATTAAACAGTTGAAAGCTGGTGTTTTTCAAAACAGTCCTCTATGTAAGAACAGCTAAATGAAAGCATGTGGCCTAACTTCAGTGATAGTATGAGAATCAGCTAGTTCATTCTTCTGATTTGTAAAGTTCTTAAAGCATACCAAAAGCCCTATTATTCCTTAGTGAGCACAAACAAAGATCTACATGCAATCTTTCACTTTTGTTGTTGTTAAACAGCCAGAAGGTGTCCTTGGCAAGGAATCCAAGGTTTTTCAGGGTGTGTTTGTCTTGCACAAAAACATTCTCAGTGTCACTAAGCAAAATCTGAGTCTTTATAACCTTGTCCTATTTCTCTGGATTTTATTTTTAATGTTTTCCTAAAATGATCATGTTTTAGATATGTGGGAAATAAACATACTCTCAGCTTTACACTGCTCCTTCTTCTGAATTAATTTATATCACAACAATGAAATTTTTAAACAGGTTCTTGATTTCTAAAATAAATGCACCCATTCAGTACAGAAGAATTCAAGCTGATCTTACTTCATTTACTACAGTTTATTACAGTAGTAAATATCAGTTATGATATTTCAACCTTATAAAAATATAAAAATGAAACTTGCCCTACAAAATATATAAGTAAGACTTTAAACTCTCTGCTTAATAATAAGCTTTGACAAAATAATAGTTACATGTACTCTATTTTATTCTGAATCTCTCGGTGCCTATCATACTGCTTCATGTGGTCTACAATTCCATTTTTCTGTTAATGCAAAATAAAATATTTTCTCTGAGCATGGACACACTAGATATTCAGTGCTGAAAATCAAGGTGTATCAAAAAAAAATCAACCGAAGAAAAACTACTTTGCCAAGTGTCTTTATTTCAACAGAGTAGTAAGCAGCTGGAGAACAGATGTTTCTTAAAAATGCAACTGCCTTTTGTAATACTTGCTTGGAAATATGCAGTAGAATTCAGACTCCTTGACTGGTTGCATTTTAGTATCGTTCTTGCTATTCTCAACTGCTATTTTTGTAAAATATATCAGTGATATTATCACCATATTTTCAGAAATTATTTATAATACCTACATGGAGCTATACTGTAGTCTTACCCACAATAATCTAAGGCAAGAGAAAAGAGAAATCTACTATTATTTATTATTTATTTATGAACCTTTATAAAATGTTGATACCTGAGACTGGAAAGATCTGATAGCTATCCAAAAGTGGGTTGACACAATGATACTATGCTAAGTTATTTGCAAAAAGAAGTAAAGACATCAAAGAGGAACTTACATTTCATTACAAAGGTACTTGGAGAAAAATAAAAATTACATAGTACGGGTTTAATTGCATGCTGCAACAAAATTTTGCAAAGAAAAATAGTCCAAGATAGGTATAGATGGAAAAAGAGCGGTACAATCTGCATGTGAAGACATCATCATGAACACAAGAGCAGGGAAAGGGCTCTTGTAACGACCCATGTTAATGACAACCCAAACTAGCATGTCAGCACAGCCCCAGCACATCGAGGCCAGTTCCACTGGGCAGGGACATCTGGAGGCAAAGCAGTGATGGCCCCCAGGGACTCACAGAGGATGCAGGACACAGATGCAGCATCAAAAGGACACAAACAGGCATAACTAGAACCTATGCACAGCAACCAACCTACAAAGAGCACAGAAGAAGCTTGAAGGACTTCACACCTGGCATCCCTGGACCTTTGCACCACAGCAACAGATGCTGGGCCCATGCGTTGACAAACATCATGGTGTGGGAATGCCAGGTGGATGGCTTGAAATCCTCTGCCTCTGTGTGTGGTGGGGCAGACTTCCTAGACACACACACACACCACTTGGTGAGTAAGACTGTCTAGCTGTGAGAGTGTGAGCAAAACCTGCTCTATTTCAGTTCCTATTTCAAATAAAATCACGTTCCTCTTTTATTAAGTCTTTCATTGATACAGTGCTGAAACAGCAAAGGGTCAGCAGATGGATGTGGAAAGAGAAGACAAGCTTTAGAGTTAAAATCCCTGTCAAAGAGCTTTTAAATACCATGCAAATTTTTACCTAAGAGCTGAAACAGTGAGAACCCAAACAGTATACTTGCTCAGTTTCATGCACTGTATGACACAAACTTAAGAGTACAGGTGACCAAAAGGAACGCAAAGGTATTTTTGTCTACAAGATGAGTGCTCCTGAACATCATCTTTTCCTGCTATTTCCTCCTAACCGTTATTTGTCTTCTGGTTCTTCAGGCCAGAATTAAGGCCTGAATGTATGAAAGGTACACTTGGCTCTCATGTGACTCTCAGCACTTCTTTGCACTACAAGTATTTAATATTAATTAGTGTCATGTTAATCTGATTTCTAATTTGGACTACCAGTAATTTAAAGTCATGATAGAAAGTTCATCCTGGTCTAGAATTTCAGAATTTATACTCAGCATTTAAAAATTTATGTTGAATTTCTGTGTATTGAATACATATTCCTATTTCTATAGTATATTACATTTTCATAGTATATTACATTACATAGTAATTTTCAGTAGTATAATATTTATTATAAATTATTGCATTATATTATTATATTTTTAGTCTACATGAACCTCATATTAAGAACCCATTTTTTAAATACTGATCATTAACAGACATATTTAATCAAAATAGATTAAATATTTTTAATCTAATCTGAAATAGATTAATTTTTTTTTTAACTTCTGAAAAGATCTGCACCATCCCATACATTATTTTGAATATCTAAATCAAGGTTCCAAATTAATGATCTTTTTCCTTTAGATTACACACATATGAACCAGCAGGCTCAGGATGAAAGTGTCCTCCTCCCCAAAAAAAAATCACAAGAAGCTTATGCATTTATTTATATTAGACTCTACTGAAAAAAATAAATAGATGCAACACAGTGATTAATTCTCCTTTTCCAAATGAGTTAGAATCTTATCAAGTTATAATTTCACTCACTGTGAGCCATTTGGTCCCAGAAAAACAACATATTTGAATTTTTTGTCAGGTATCACCAAAAGGGCACTGTGCCTTCATTGTTTGCTATCCAATACTCAAGTGACCTTTTGAATTATGGTCATGAAATTTAATATACTCATTTATCCTGATTACATGGGAAAATCATGTGAAATTTGATATTTTGGCTGCAAGGTCAACCAAGGAATAGCCTAACAGTTTGAAAACCTGACTTGTTACCTGTCCAGACAGAGGCCCTCTCTTTGACACACCCAACAACGCTGGTAGTCACCTGCTGCCTGGCAGTGCCAGTAAAGATTGCATTTGTTCCCTTTACAAAGACAGAAATGCAAATGTCAGCAGTGCGCTGGCACAGTTGTACCTATCCTTCCCAACAACTCTCCTGCTGAAGTAACCTGATCTGAGAAGATGAATCCATTGCAAAAATACATGGTTGAAACTGAACCTGAAGTAGGCAGGAATTCTAATGGTAGCTAGAAGAAAAATCTATGGTTTAGGTGTACCCTGGATCTTGCTGATGCTAAGTTTCCCCACAGGAACACTGACAAGTAAAACATTTTACTTTTTCTGGCTGGATGGGAGTCTCCATTCCTTCCTGGCAGTTAATGATCCTTGGCCTCAATTATACATACAGTTATCTTCTTCCACTTGGAAGAGAGCCATACAGTACACCTGGGCACAAGGCCATGAGCTTCCTGTAAACTCCAGCTACTGCAGAACACCACCCCTGAGCTCTCCTGAAACACAGGCAGCACTAAGAATGAAATCAAGCTTACCAGCTTCAAACAGGTAATACTATAGGTACAGACAATCCAATTCCGAACTCCAGATACAGGGTTTAGTTCTGGGGAGGTGTATGGGGTTGGGTTTGGTTTTGCTTTTTATTTTTCACTCCAAGACCCATATAGATTGATGATCCATGGATGGGTACACGGGCTCAAATCTGCCTACTCTAACTCTCAATTTCTCATCTCAGTCCCTAATCCAGACAGCACTCCTGCTCGTGCTTGTTTAGGAATTGCTTTTAACCCTTGCAATTCACAGTCTGGGATACTAAGAAACACAAAAAAAGAAGGGGACAAAAGGTGATAACACATATAATATGGTATACTCTACCTGCTATAAAAGCAGAACAAAGGCTACCAAAAGAAACACAACATTAATCCTCAAGTGAATAGGGTGTAGGAAATAAAATTGTTAGTCCTTTTATTCTGCTTTAGCAGTACTGAATTTTCCATCCTAAATTATTCTTATGTGAATTAAAACAATATTCAAAGATCTACTAAAATAAATGTAACTTATATGAAGACAGACAACAGGATTTAGCCCTATCAATGAATACCTTACATGCAGCACAGAAAACAAAGAAACAAGGGAATTTAAACCAACACAATTTTTGCAAAACTAAAGGCTGGTCACAAAACTTTCAAATTCTGCAGAAACTTAGGTTCTTAAGGACTTTGTAATCCTTTTTAGTGGAATAAAAGAATATTGAAATAACACAGCTGGAGCTATGTTGCCTCTTTTTCCAGTCATCTAAGCATGTCTGCACTGTGCTTTTGAGTATTTGAGCTTGGTTGAATCAGTTACAACATCATGACCTTCAGGAACCAGGTCAGGTGTACTTTTGTACTCAAAGGCTTTTCAAGACACTGGACAACATGACACAGTTCCATGCAAATGGTTACACTGTGAGCTAGCCTGACAAGTCCTGTACTGAGCTAACAAACCATCAAAGTGGGATCCATGTTCACTGAGTTTAATGTCTGCACAAAATTCCCCTATGTCCAATTCCAGATGCATACTGCAGAGACACCTAACTGAGCTCTGTAGAGAGCAGGGTTTGGTCCATAAAATTTACTAACTTGTACTCCATGCTGTGCAAAATCAGTTAACATACTACAGGATCACAGAATGTTCTTGAAGAAGTATAACATGCTTGTGAGCTGTTGTGTTCATACTGAAAAATTCAAAACATCAAGTTAAAGCTGTATGAAGGCTTTGCATCTGTAACCAGGATTAATTTGCAACCTGGATAATTCCCTCATAGACAGCACAGTTAACTGCATTTATACCTTCCCTTTTTTATGGGAAAGGAACAGGCAGTATTTCCCTCTCCATTCCAGTTCTGTTTCCTGGGCTGATTAAATTCTGCTCATACCAGAATGATGACTTGGTGACTCAACATGAAAGTTACCTGATAGTGTTCCAAACATCAAAACCATCCAAAGGCTTAGTGCCATTGGTATGTCCTCCAGCAAGGTGCACCAGCGTTGGCAGCCAGTCAGAGATATGGATGAGTTCATGACTTTCTACACCTTTTTGTTTCAGCAAAGGACTTGCAACAAAGCCTACACCTCTCACTCCTCCTTCCCAGAGGGTCCATTTTCTCCCTCTCAGTGGCCAGTTATTTCCCCCTGCTAAAGTTTGTCCTCCATTATCTGAAAAACAAATAAACAAAAAGAATTCTTGGTGAGAAAGAAACAGAACAATCTTCCCCACACCATCTATTCATCCATTTGAAAAAACATTTTCACAATACAGGTGTGTCATGTGAGTATTTGCATACTGCTGTTAGGTGTCTATATAATGTCAAACAATCAGGGCCAAGTAAAAAACATATTTTCACACCTACAAATTACATCAATGAAAAGCTATCACTAGGCAGAGATTATCCCATACCACAAGACAGTAATTTAGAAAGACTGTGCTAAGAACAACTTCTGACCATGATTAGGTATCCAAAGACACCATTAGGTATCCAAAGCTTTCAGAACCAAAGACATCAAAAATTTAGTTTCAAGTAATTTAAAGACCACAAGAAGAGTTGCTATCAATGCCATCATTAGTACTCAGAATACAATGGTTTCCAAAACAGCATAACATGCTTGAAATGGAAACCTGTTATTCCAGTCTCAGGAAAATACTCGCCCACCTAGTTTAAAAGCAGGGCTTTTTCCATATTTTCTGGCAGCCACACATAAGGTTAGACAAAACAGAATCTCCTTCTCCTCAGGCAGAATGATAAAGCCCTAATAAAATGAATTGAAACTAGTTAACATAACTGAAGTGATTCTGAAACTGAATTTATGTTTGGTGAGGATAATATATAAGATGGTTACAGAAAAAACTGAATCACCACAACTACAGAAAAATCTATGTGAATTAGAGATGGCTCATGGTATGCTCTTCTTTTTAACTCTCTCTGACCAAGCTTCCACGCTCAGGAAAAAAACCAGATCCTTGAAGTTAACAGTAATGATTCTTTGAATTTACTTTCAGTACTGTTATAAAGTTGTTCTTGTTCAAACCTACTTTAATGCTCTCAGAAGAGTCATAGCTGACAATAATTCTGTTAAGCATAATTTTCCTCTATTTTAATGAGGTTTAAATTATTTCAAATAGTAATTGCTGAACTGATATTCCGTGTAATTTGACAAGTTTGTATTGTATTTTCTAATTTAAAAATTAATTAAATGAATTTGAGGGAAGAAACAAGAAGTTCAACCTCTCACAGAAGAACTTCACTGTAACCAGAACAAAATTTTCTTTCTGGTTGACAAGAGTTCAAGAAGCATTTGGACATACTTTTGGGCACATGGTGTGATCCTGGAGATGATCCTGTGCAGGGCCAGGAGCTGGACTCAATGGTCCCTGAGGGTCCCTTCCAAGTCCCTTTCAACTCAGCTTATTCTGTGATTCTGTTTTTAATTAGGGATCAGTGTAAACCCCCACATCTTTCTACTGCACACAAAAGACCACTTTTGATCTACAAAGGAATAAACCATGGATATCTGTGAAAACTTTGAATGGCAGAAGCCTAAGCTAAATGAAGCACTTGGCAAAAAAATAATTATTTGAAAAGAGTTAAACGTCCTGTGGCCCAACTAGCTTCCAGTTGGGTTGCCCACGTTCCTGCATTTTTGGATTAAAAAGAAATTAATGAAGATTGCTACCATTATTTCTTGCACAACAATGTTGAGCTCTCACATCTGAGAACTTAAAGCAGTTGCTGGTTACAACAAAAATGAAAAAAAAAAAACCAACAAAACTATGTCAAACCACGACAATCAGTTTCAACAATTCCTTCTTCTCATAATGTAAACAGGAATTCCTGTCAGAGCTACTCATGGGACAGAGTTTTCAGTAGCTTTTAACCTTTGGTGGCCTTAGAATAAAAGGCATCCTATCCACACTGTATTAGAGCACAGTTTGGACACACAGAGGAATCAGACCTTAAGTATTTCACATACCTCCCTTGTATCACAGACTGCTCACCGTCTCTATCAGTTCACTAGCAATACACCAGGGTTCTTCTAATTCCTGATTATCAGCAACAATGTAGCAAGTAAATTATAGAAGTAGGTGGTATTTCTGAAGAATAGTGAGAGAGAAGTTTGCACTTCTCAGGTTACAGTCAAATCTTTATGATACTTACTTTTTCCTTGCTTTCTGTAAAAACATTCACATTCTGCCAGCTTCTCTACACATTAAATTCCCTGATAAAAGGAGTCTATCTAACACACATTCTGTAAAAACTTGTGTCTTTTATTAACAGTACATCAAGTTTAAATGAAAGGGGAGAAAATTGTGTTTTGATAGTTGATCAGATATGCAAATGAAAAAACAATGAACATATGAAACAAAGGTTCATCTCCCTCATTTGACTGCTCATTCTAACATTGCTAAAACATTACTTTTTCCTTCCTTGGGAATTTGTGTTCAATTGCTCCTTCTTGTGTAATTTCTTGACTGAGTTAAGAAAGTGTTGAAGGAGAGAAAAGGATGGTTTGTGTTTTGATTATTAAGGTCTGTTTCCTTTCTAGGTAGGCAGAACACAAATGATGTGTCACTAGCAGCTTGCATGTAAGCAACACCTTCACACAGTCCGAAATGTTATTGAGAACTTCAAATACCCACGGTTTGTTAAAGAGCAGTTGGTTACATAACAGTGAAAGAACCTAATGGGAGCTGAATTAATAAAATAATAAGCTAACTACTAAATAATAAAGGGAGAGGGAATAAACAAGAAGCCAATGATTGCATGGAGTACAGACCTGACAGAAAGCCCATTCAGGACTGTAACTGCTGTTCTGGTCCTTGTTTTACCTCCAGAAGTATGTCTGCACAGCAAGAGACAAGATGGGTACCGCTGTGCGTGTGTGTTCAGGTACATCTCCTCTAAATCAAGAGCTGCGGATGTATATATTGATGCTAAAAGTTTGCATGGGTTCAGAAAGAAGTTAAAGTTGAAAAAATTATACAGTTCCTATATGAAAACACATCACCTCAGTCGCAGGAGTTACTTCAGCCACAAACTGCTGAAGATTTGCAAGTTTTCACAAAGGTTTCCTAGACCTGTGCCACAGAGAATTGCCAGAGAGAGTGGGTGCCTGGCTTGACAGATCCTTCATCTGTGGAAGCACAGCCACTCTCATTTTCTCCCAAAGAAATTATTCCTCACTAACTCCTTATGCCATTTTACCCAAGTGTCTCAAACATGGAACAAATTCCAAGTGGAAACTCACATTAGATTAAAACACACACTTAGGTGTGAGACAAATGAATTCATTGTTCCTTCATATTCTACACAGGCTTCATATCTAATTCTAAATCTATTTCAAAACAATATTTTCTGAACTATTTATCACACACTTTTGTAACCGTTTCTCTCCATGACTATCTTATGTCAGAAAACAGTCTCCAGAGCAAAGCTTTTGGAATCAAGCTACCTACATCTTGTGGACCTCATTTATAAGATTGCTTAGAAATAAAGTTTCAGCCTTGCTACTTCTGCTGAAAACACAAGCCTCCTCCAGGCATGACACTTCATTATTTCTTTGCTGGAGACAAACATCAAATATGATTTTCATTAAAAATTCTGAAATAGTGTGGAAAATGTATGTTTCTTATCTGTAAGAATAATTTTTGCAATTACATCTACATAATTTTGACTACAGAAGTACCCATGACTAGGGGTATTAAAAAACTGTAAAACTAACCAACTCTTGTCTGTGAAGAAAGGATGAAAGGGGAGTTAATAAGGCTGCATCCAGAAATTATGCCACTTGGCATAAGCATTATTTAGCCAATTTATGCAGGTTTGTTTTCTTTCTTTAATAGAAGCACATTTCACACATTTTTAAAGAGCTTTATTCCTTGCTTGGCTTGCTTTGAGAGATGTTTAGCTACTCTTTTTTTCACTGCATTAATCACTCTTATTATGCATTTTAATGAGGGGGGTACCTAGATGCTTTATTTCCATTCTCACCGAATTTTCTTCTACAAGGTGAAATTTGTGGCAACAAATGAGAATATGGGGAAAAGCCAGTCTCACTAATACAAGAATGGGCTGAAACAGAATTTGTAGCAGGCACCACCACCAGCAATGAAAAAATGCACAGCACATATATGCTGGGTAAATGACAAAACAAGAGAATAAAGGAGAGCAATGGAAGCTTCCTGCCTACTTTAAAATGTAGTTTCCATCAAAGCTGAATCAACATCAGCTTCAATGGAACAAGCAAAAACAACAAAAATATGTCAAAATGTACCTCCATTCCAGAACAAATTAGGTGAAAATAGGACATATTTTCGACACAGAAAAACAGAGAATATAGCCTATTCTTAAAATGCAGGTGATTGCCTTTGGAACTACTGTGGTCCTCTTATTAAAAAGAAAGAAGAGGAAGGGTTACTTAAAAAAATATACTTAATGAAAACCTTTCAACGTAAGAAAAACAGATGTAAAGTAAAGCTTATGTGTCTTGAATATACAATACAACTTTAAAAATGAAGGCAAATGTTCTTCTCACAAACATCTGCTTTTGTAATTAATATTCATTGTCATATACATGAGAAAGAGTTTAATTTGCTAAATCTGTAATTTCTAAACTGTAAGAGATGTTTTGCAGGAGTTTTTAAGGGAATCAATAAACAAAACTATACAGAGAGGCCCTTCTGTTTCTCCCAAATACTTCTCTGAAGAGCTGCCAGCTGCCAAACATTTTGACTAGCGCAGTGTGTATATACAGTGATGTGGGATGTGTGTAGCTAGCGAGCAGTTTAATGACTAAGATTTCTTTAAAGAAGAGATGGACAATAAAAACATCAATAAAACAATTCTGAGAGCAATAATTAATGAAGCATAGATTCAAGTCTTTGGATGAACTCACTTTCTTACAAAATTACCCTGGAACTGAAGCAACAGTCTGCTTTGCACTATAAAGACACCATTGGAAATAGATGCTCACAACTACGGGGAAAGCTTTGTATGGGATTTGTACATCACTAGACAATAGAAAACCAAAAAAAAAGGCAGAAGTGTTGACTTAAGAACAAACTCTGACAAATGTCCTTCCCAGGATCATAAACATCTCTGCATGCATTCATTGCCAAGAAAAACTCACAGTAGTTACTGAACTCAGGGCAATATTAATAG